GAGTGTTGCAAGAAGAGATATTAGAGTTAATAGCATTAAAAGAAGGTTAAACTGCACATAACATGTCTCATCTATCCCTAGCCGCAATTGGCATCCCCTAGGAGTACTTGCTTTGTGGAATGTTTTAATCCCCTACTTCAATAGTTTTACTTTCCATCATGAACTCTTTCATGAGTAAAATTCTAACAAGATACTCCAAACACTATATACATTCTTCTATTACCCCTCAAGGGAATCATACTTGACCTGGATTAGTATGTAATACCTCTATTTAATCGAACACTAATAATCTGGTATTTAGAATATAATTAGGATTGAATATATTTATTAGGAGTTGAACCCAATAAAAGGTGCTTCAATTTTCTATTTGTATTGTACTGAACATCTATATATAGTACAATAAGTATGAGATAGCGTAATAGGCGTCCCTTTTGCACATAGATAAAATAATGATTAAAATTTTCTAAACGATAAAGTTTTTCTACATACAGATCATGTAGTGTGTAAATCAGAATGGACAATGTCGATCACCATATCGGGTAGCCTAATGGGCTAACTCGCGATAAGAATCGCATCTCAATATCTCATTTTATCATTTTTCTCTATATGTGTGTGCGTGCATTAATGGGGTTGGTGCAACTACATTATGTATAAATTTTGGAATAGTAGTAACTCTATGAATTGAGGAAGAAAGATCTTGAGTACTACATTTGATATATGTATTACTTTGGACGAGTTTGAAAATAAGAATACTGCTCTAAAATTGGTAGCTGAAAACTGATGACTAACTGCACTATGTCTCACAACCTCAAGGTTAAACAACGGTTGGATCCGAGAGGCGTCACATAGTATTCAGCTTGTACATCATATGCAGGAATATCTCACGAATCTTAAGAAATACAAACTCAAATTCAATTTTGTTTCGATTCTATTTCGCTCCTATAGTGGTTCGACACCACAATCACCATCATAAAATACCATCATAATCAAAATTTTCTGCAAAAAAATTAAATTGAAATCATTTTTTGGAGTGAAAATAATTGTCACTCCCACCATTTCTACTTGCTCTTTGTCCTCCAAGCTTCTGTATTATTTCCCCACAAAGCTTCAAATCAAAATCATGGCTAATTCTTCCACAAAAGCATGTAAAAATGAATATAAGAGATAGTTATACTTATAGGCCCTCGTATAGATCTTGACCATTGGATCTAAATCTTAGATCGTCCTCTCATGCAATTTACCCAAATTTAGGGGGGGTGGTCGGTTCGGGTTGACCCGTTTGAGAAATTATCGCTTGATTGAGTTAAGGGTCGGATCAACCCCTTTCCTTTCTCCTCTCCTCACCTCGTTCCCAAAAACCCTAACCCGATACCTTGCTCCTGCCCTACTAATGTGGAACGGCGACAACCTCATTGAAGGCCAACTGAGCTTATATCAGCATTTGGTTACCTCTGATCAGTACAAGGGAAGGATATTTTGGAGTGATGGAGATGTTTTTGGCTATTTTTTGAACTTCACGATAAACTTCTCGCTCTCATTAAGTTTATGTTCGAATCATGTTTTAATTTATTACTTCTTACATAGTGGGTCACCTACATACCAGAAGGAGTGGCATTCACAGGCCAACAGGGGTTCCAGATACTAAAGGATATGTTCATGATCTATGAAATGACATCAACCAGCCTAATCAACAGCCGCTTAGGTTCCCAAGTTGTTTTATTGCCTCATCTATTATAGCCACCATTTTCCCACCCTCACTTCACATTCACGACTTCGTTTATCCTTAGATGTGACATCGTCTGAATTAAAGCCGGCGAAGCCTCTACCACCTCCTAATAATAGATCTGTGGGATGACTAGATGATAAACAATAGGAGAGCTAGTATTCACTGTTGGATGGGAGGTGCAGATGAGTACATTAATAAAGCCCTAGATCTTCACTAAGAATATAGTCTGTTTCTTCTTGAAGTTATTCTACCCTACTTCCACACTAAAATTAGAGCAGATTTTCCGCAAGAATATATCAGTGGCCTTCTAGAATACCATGTCATAATCAAGGCGCAGAATAACCCTCATCAGCCTAGGGGTAAAATTTTAAAAGAAATTAGGTTATACTTTTCGAGGGACAGAGCTTATGGGATCCTGCTGCCACACTTCCAGCTATCATCGTTGGATGTCGCGAGGATAGATGGGTCATCCAGGGATGCGGCTTCTACGAGCACATCCATATACCATCAATTAAATTAATCCATATGATCCATTTGCCTAACTGAATGATAATGCAACAATAGTTTAGTTCTTAAGCTTGTGCACCTTAAACTTATGATGGGTTTTCCTAATTGTTATTGACTATGTTTTAGTTGGTTTCTGTTAGTTATTTGTTAATTAGTTTAAGCATATATGTTGTTTGTTAATTGTTATGTAATTAGGCCATGATATCTTAGTTTAGTTGGGTTTTCTTAATTGTTATTTATTATTGATTATGCTTAGTTGTATTCTATTAGTTATTGCTGATTATGTAGCCATATTTGGTTGTTTAGATCCCTAGCAATTGGATAAATTTGTCATAAATATAATCCAAATGTAGCATAAAATCAAATGAGGGTATTAAAGTGAAATAAAATTGAAACTTTGAGGTATCAATGTGTTAAGAAATACTTTGGAGAATCATATTGAAATAAATAATGCTTAATTTTAGAAAACTCCTCTCAACTAAAAGGATTGTCTCAGAAAGCCCTCTCAACTATTTTAACTTTGCAAAACCCTCCTCAATTTTGGGGTTGCTGCACATAAACCCATTAACTTCCAAAATATAACATATCCCCCCTTAATTTTTCTCACTTAACTCCCTAAACTAAAAAAATTAAAGACAAAGGAATACATGATTTAAAATGATCATATTATCCCTAAAATATTAAAAATTTTACCGTGATGTTCCATTTTAATTTCAACTTTTTTGATTAAAAATACCTCCCATGTTATCCCCTTCTTCTCACTCTATATCCATTGCTAGGTCCAAGCGGGAACCCAATTTTTCTTTATTTTTTGAAACACTAATGGTGTGTTTGGTAATCAAGGTGATTTTCATGTTGTGTTTTTGTAAAAAAACACCATGCCATGGTGTTTTTTTCAAAAGTGTTTTGAAAACAACATTTTGTTCATGGGAACTATAAAATTTGAAATTATTATAAAAATTGATAAAATAGAGATTTAATAACAGAAATTAAACTAAAAAACTAAAAAATACAATAAATTTACATGAATTGAAGGTGCCCGAATGAGAGGATTTAGGGAGGACAAACAAGTTAGGGCCTGGAAGCCACCTCCACTACCCACCGCAACTCCACTTCCACCATTTCCTCCTCCCTCAAGTCCATCTTCTTCAAGCCTACTAACCCCCCTCCTCTTCGATTCCTCATCAGCCTGAGCTTCGGCGCTGCAGGTCCTTCTCCTTCTCCGGCCCCCGCCTCTCCGCTTCCTTCGAACCTCAGCGCAAGTCCTGCGATGTCAGGGGGCGCAACACCCTCTGGGCCCTCTTCAATCATGGCGGTGGCGGTATTAGGGCCCACTGCGTCGGTCGTCATTGGAGCCGGCGAGATCGAGATCGTCGAAGATAGGATCGCAACCGTCGAAGATTCCTTCGTGACGGCCCAGATTCCGGCGAGATCGACGTCGAGGAGAGGCCGATGAAGGATCACATACATCTCGAGTCGCAACCTAAGAAACCTCCGGCCAAAGATCTCGTCGGTAGCTTTGGGCTCGGGTATTGTTTGGGGAGGAGAGAGAGCTGGGGGGGAGAAGAGGAGCTGGCGACGAGCTGTTACGGCTTGGGTGAAAAAAAAGAACGAGAACTCAAAACACATTTTTGATGTTTTGAGAAAAGCGTTTATTTGTGGGCTTTTTAATAGGTCAGGTCAAAAAACACCCCAGTTGCCAAACGCATTTTTTTTTTTTTTTAAGAAACAACAAAAACACCTCAGTTACCAAACGCTCCCTAAACTTATTTTGTGTTATTTAATTGTGTATGTCTGTTGCATGCAAATATTTAAGGAGCGTTCAAGGAAGTGTCAGTGCGGATACTGATAAAGTGCGGTACGTGCAAGGTACATGTAGGATACATGTCAGGTATAGATCAGGCTTAATAGAAGAAGTACCCAGGCAACATAACTTCCCAAATATTTTTATTCTGTGTGCATGATTTATGCACATTGTATTATGATTTTTAAATTTTCAACCAAGACGCATAACAAAAGATGAGGTGTCACATGCAAGTTTAACACAAATTGAAAAAAACAATAAAGATAATAATTAAATCATAGCTTTTTTTTACATGAAGAAATATCTCAAAGGTTAATAGTTTAATAGGCACAGGATATTGTTTCTTGAATATGCGTGAGAAAATAATGAATAGCACATCGAATACATCTATCTCATGTGATTTAGAAATTCAACATTTTTATTTCTAGGAAAACTAAAACTTTTTTTTTTGCTCGCATAAAGAAAGCTTTGTAGAGAATACTACACCCAAAAAATCATTAAACCAAAAAAATATGGCAAGCACCTATGTGCCAGGAGATGCATTTCATAAGCTACAACTAGAATAAGGAAAGATAATAAACCTCAGAATAAGATAAGAATACTATACCAGTGCCATGCAGTTTCTGAGCACAGGATTTATGTAAAGAAATGCTAGAGCTTGTATTACATAAATTCACTGATTAATTGATTTTCATTTGAATCACTGGACATGTTAAGGCACTCGAGGAAAGCATCTTCAATCTGGATAGGTTTTATATAACATTAGACATTACATAAATTTTCTAAATATTTTTAGGCACATATTAGGCCTTCCTAGAAAATAATTAAGTGTGAGCAGTTCCTGATAATACAAAATACATAATTAAAAAACTGGAATATACTATAGAATATTTCAAAACAAACAAAAAGGGACATAGACAGACAACCTGAAAAGGCAAGGTAGAAAATGGAAAAGGCTAATACCTTGGACAATACTCCATTTGTATGTATAAATATGTGGATTCATGCGAGTTATCTGACACAATATCATTTGGTATGCTGCTACTCATGAAGCTCCAACTGCAACTCTCTGCAGTTCTTGAATCACAAATAGTGCCTCCATGATAGTTACCACATTCAGTTTCAAACCATGCCTAGATGTATCATCTCTGGTAAATCAGTTAAGCAGACAAATCATACTTGATAATATTGAAGTCACTCTATGAAACAAATCAAGTAAAATCTCATAGGCAAGGGAATAATAGAAATTCTCAGCTGTTTAAGAGTAAATACTCAAATATTCATGACAGACCCAAGCCACAACGAACCCAAATGGTTGTGTGTGGTATCCACATCTTAACCATCTACACTTAAAAAACAAAAAATTAAAAAGAACATACATGGCAAGAAAAGAACAGCAGGAGTTCACCTGATAATATCGGACGACATGTTGATGCTGTAAACGCGAGAGCGTGGCTACCTCCCTGAGAACTCAAACATAATGACGCACATAAATAGTCTAATCAATATATTCAAATTTAGCAGAAAACAATTCAGAAGATTCAGAACAAAAATTTCAAGCTAAACCACAGATGAAATCGAATATTAATAGTAAACTGAAACAAGACATTGACAAAAGTATTGTACAGTACAATAACGAGTGAATAAGCAAAAAGCCTCTTGTTACTAAAATGAAAAGGAAACAAAGAAAGAATTTTACACTTATTTGTAACTATGTAATAAAGTAATTGAGTAGAATGATTATGAAAATATGTTAATAAGAGATATATACAGAAAGATTAAGATTATTAATTTGAACCAAAGACCGGCCTCAAGAGTGAAAAACCAATAAATGATCACAGGACATCCTATTACACAAATATCTAAGTAATCATAAAGGTGAAGTTGAAGAGTAGAACTCCACAGAACTACCACCACTTTTAGTTACATAACGGGCTTTCCTATTAAAAAAATTCTCAGTATATTAGTAGTCAAAGAATCCTTTTGCATAGTAACAATAATAATCACACCTCAAAATCTTTTCATTGACATGGACATCTTTATCCTTAAGTCGAATCTTTTTAACTGCATACTGTCGTCCGTCTAGCTTATTTTTGCACAATACCACATGTCCAAAACCTCCACGACCTGCAAGTAAAGACATAAAGGACAGCTGTGATCTTAATGACAAATGTCTTAACATTATACATACAAAACTAGGAAGACTATAATTAGAGAAAATTGAGAAAAGCCACTATAATTATATGAATTCCAAGTTTGCCCATCATTGTCATTGTTTGCTCTCACAACAGAACACAAACAGCAGGTGACAAAACCTAGCCCAAAACATGCTCCATGAAATTAAAATACGTGGGTAAAGCTGCTGTTAGAAAATCTACCACTCGTGCAATGACATTCGCCATCAAAGAAATTCAGTTTAGAAATATCTTGAGAAGTCGAAAGAGTTATCTGAAACACTTCTACTTGGGAGTCCTTCAAGATATTTATTCTCTTGCAACCTCTTTGACAAAGGCAAAAGAATCATTCTTATGCAGGCAATGTCACTGAAGGCCTTAAAACAAATTCGAAATGAATGGAACTGTTAAAACGAAGGGATAAGCAGTCGACGGAGCAGATGAATGACTAAAACACAATTACTTAACATCATGTGAAAGCGCATGAAGTAATAATCTCAGAATTCTTAGGTAACTCAGTTCTCTACATGGGGAATGTGGGTTACAACTTACCAGATAGTTGTTTACTTGCGAATCATGAACCATGAGAACATCAGAATTTGTTTTAGATCATCAGCTATAAAAAGAGGCACATAAAAAGAAGAAAATCTTGATTAACGAAACAAGGTTTATCTTTCATCATGTTTATCATGCTATCTTCTTTCTTGAAGATCTCATGATTCCCATTTGTGACAGTCATCAGACATGTATTTTTTTATGGAAAATATTGTTGTCTTACTAGGTGTTCAACTTTATTGTTTCTCGCTCAGTCTTGCATGAGTTCGCATCAGTAGAACAAGCCAAGGCTATTGCATGTTACTTGCAGTCTCAAGCTATCACTTGCCCTCCCTGACTGAGTGATTTGAAAGCCATTTACTCGATATAGTAGCATTGTAAATGAACAGGAGTTGCTTTCCTCCTTTCAGAAAATCTCTAAGTGATGACTTGTCAAAACCAGCTAGTTGTAAGTTCTGAGCTTAGCACTGCAGTACTCATTAGCTATGAAGCATGGCCGCCAATTTGTGCCCCACACTCCTGTCCCACACGTTTCAGACATGGGGACACACAACATGTCTGGACAGTGTAGGACTTATTCCAGCTGTGTCCAGCGCAAAATGGTTTAGAACATGGACCTGGGTACGTATTGTGTTCAAGATCAAGTAGTTTCAAACCTACTACAAAATATCAATAAGGAATTGAGACTCCCACACCATCATGACTTCCTCTCATCTCCCCCTCTATTACTGAACCAAAAGTCCCTTGACCCTGAGCTGATCTAACTTCGACCTTTTTTGTTGCTAAGACATCGATGACTCTGCCATGCCATCTGCAAACAGGCTCTGGCAGCAATGATAAGAACTCGATAACTTCATCCATGCACCACAGCAACTTTGATAAACTTCAAGCTTCATTGACACTCAAGAGATTTGACAAGCTGTGATGAGTATAAGGTGATGTGGAGAGGCTTGGCCTCTATGAAAAATATTGTAAGCAATTGATTGTGTTGATTCCTTATTGTCCATGAATGAGAGCTGTGAGATTTTCTAGATTAAAGCTTGATCTTCGGCAAGTTTCACTCAGAGAAAAATTTTTACATTTTGATTTATGGAATCCACTGGATACCTAGCACCTCACTCGCATACAAGAACATTATCGTTTCTGTTAGGATTTTTATTGTCGTGTATTTCAATGTCATAAAGTGTAATTCTTTTGCACAAGTTCATATTAGCAGTTAGAACCTTATATACGTGCAAGTAAATTTTATATATAGTTCATTTTAAAGTTATTTTCTTCTTTAATGTCCCGTGTCTGTACTCATACCTGTGTCTTTATAACGTAGCTCATTAGCTAGGAATTTTCAGGCCATAGACCTTCGCTCTGCCAAAGGAGAAGAATGATCTTCAAGCATTCGAGTAGAGTAACATGTAGAATTTTTATTATATACCCATAACTTACATCATTTTAATCTTGCTTGAACATATGCATTTTGAGATGGTGGACTACATAAAAAGTGTGTTACAAAAGAAAATATGGATCATTAGTTCATAGTTTCTGTACGTAGCTATGTGTAGTACACACACATGACCCAGCAAGCAAGAAAGGTTGACCTCAGTAGCAGGAGATACATGCATGCAGAAAGTTAAAAACTTGAGAAACATGACAGGCTCGATGAAAATGAGCAAACAATAATAAGGAGAGTTCCTTACCAAGTGAACGGATTTCCTCAAAGTCATTTAAATAACGGGAGTTTGGAGGAGAAGAAGCACTGTCCTCATTGAAGTTGCTAATGGCTTTCCAGAACTGTGAAATTCTAGAAGAAGTCTACATGATAAATCCAAGAGGCAATGTAAAAGATCAGAACAGTTTCTAATAAACCCAGCAGAAGACAAGCTGATAAGCAAATAAATATAAATAAAAAATAAGCTCACCATACGCTCTTCAAAAGCATGAGCAAAAGCTTCGCGATAGCTTGCTCTGAAAGCATCTGATTTGTTCCGAAATAAGTACGCAGTCAAACAGTATAACTGTTGAAGAACACAAGGATCTCAACACCACAGACATGCACAGAGAGAGAGAGAGAGAAGGGTGCAAACATACCCCTAATTTGTAAAGTTCAGATAATATTTCTGGGAAAGAAAGAGACAGTGATCCTTTGGAAGCGCAAGCCAGGCGAAGCAAATGTATCTAGAAAGAAAATCAAAATACATTATCTCAGAGCAATGACATATCTACAGGTGAAAATAGACTGAGACACTAACATACCATAAATATATCTTTTTTCCTGATCTGTGATTCACTATCAAATGTAAAAGAAGATGAAGTCAGATATTCATGTTCTGTCTCACAACTACCAACGTCTGCTGCTTCCTCCAGATCGAACCCTTGCTGCAACCAAACAAAAAAAAGATCCTTACGGCTCAAGCATGAGGAATCAATAGCTGACAACTAATAAAAAGAGTAATGCATGCTGATACTGTGAGAACAGCCCCCAGAGACGAATGGGGGAAAAAAGAATGCATGCTAGACAACCCAGAAAAAAAGGGACATTATAGTTGTTGTCGTCACTGTCATTGTTAATGCTAGGGCAACAAACCATATGGTCAGCAATCTAGTCATCAAGGATGCAAAAAACTAAAAAGAAAAACATTGTCAACCAAGCCTAGCATGGAAAAATTGGCAATGATAGTTGTAAGATAATAAAGAATGACATCACAAGCACCATCACTTCAACTCAAGGGGAAGCTAAAGTAACAAGAATTGGCACGCATGGTTTTTTAAATTTCACCAAGAAACAAAATACTGAATTAATAAACATTAGGACTACCTCTTCCAATGTGCTCTCATAAACCCCCTTGAAACTATCCAGTGCTGCTTGAAGGTTATGTTTCCTGGGAGATACACTGTTATCATCATTTTCAGTTTCTTCTTTCAGAACATTTAAGTTTTTAGTTACCCGTGGCATTGCACCATGTATTACAGGAGTCGACACTTCAGCTTTGGTATGCTGAAACAATTGACCATCTTTGACAATATTTACAGAATTGCCCACATCATAGGAATCTGACAAGTTATTCTTTCTTCCCACTTGGCTGAATCGAGTTTCTTCTCTGATTACTATACCAGAGTTCGTATTTGTAGCTTTTGGAACACAACTGCTCCAGGATGCTCCATCACCACTTAAATCATTGTAAAGATCGACAGATACATAAACATATGGTCCTTCAGAAAAGCATCTCCCTGCAGGATCCTTATAATTTAAGTGTTCCTTCCTTGTAGAGGCCAAACCAGGATTCTGTCAGGTAAGGAAGCATAACACAGAAAATAATCAATAATCATATTAAATCTCGAAGATGCACGAAAGCTGATATAGATTTAATCAAATTAATTAGATCAATTGGAGAACCTATGAGCTCTGGTTTGTGCCGTGTGTGCATGTGTCATGACTCATAATGATAATTTTCTGCTGGGTGAGCCCACATAATGCACATGACTCGGATAGAAGAAAATAATTGAAGAAACATACTCTGAACATGATTACTGGCAACATGTTGACAGTTTTGCGGCTTTTGCCTGATTTAAAAGCCGAGTTACTTTCTCTGTTCAAAAATTTGGCTATAGCAGGACGCCAACCTATATTCCCAGGTTTATATCATCCCACTTTTAGATAATCTACTCACCTTCAGTCATATTTGGAACATGAAACTAAAGTTATAGAGGTTTGATAGGCAATGCCATCTCAACATCTCTGCATATAAACAATTCTCACAAAAATAGCAAATTTTCAAGATGGAGAATATACCAATCAAGTGGTCAAACTACTCACTACTACTGCATAGAAACCGGAGCCGACAAATGGATAAAAAAAAGCACAATATTATTTTACCATTTGATTGTTTCAGCGAATCAGCAGTCATAGGGGGTGTTAGTCAATTTGAGCTTGTCAAGTAGAATTAGGATAAATATTGAAGTGGGATAACTTTATGAAAGTGGGATATTTTAGTAGGATAATGAAGGATAATTTTTTGGATAAACTTGGTAGAATAGCATGGGATAACTTGATAGAATAAAAAAGTTATAATGTGTGTATTTTTATGATGTAATACCTTAATTTATATATTTTTTAGTAGCAAAAATGAAAAACAAATGACAGTTCAAGTCTTAAGGATATAGTATGAAGATGTAAGAAGTGCATTATTACATGGAAAAAAATTAAGAAAGCAAAATACTACATTAAGACCACATATATTATATAATTAATTCAATAGTTAACTCAAATGTGACGTGTGTCGTCCAGATTTAAATCAAATATTCGCAGTAAAAAATAAGCATGCATTTAACAATTGTAAATAAGCATAGCTTTGTAATATACAAGAGAACATAATAGTTCTACTTTAGTTCTAGTTTGAGAAGTGGGATAATCAGAAACTAGAACGGACTTTTTCTATATAAGATGAATGAAAAGTGGGATAACTTTTTTCAATTATCCCAGTTCTACTTTTGTGCCAGTACTAATTGAATAATACCTTAAAATGTTATCCCAATAAAAGTTCTAATAGTAACCAAAGTTGAGTACAATTACAGTCTGCACGATATTGAAAGAACTTACATTCTCAAGTGACTGTTCAGTAGGCACAATCCCTGATAGAAACTCTTGAGCAGCCTCCACCAGATTGAAGATCATCACCCGTCCTTCTCGTGCATTAATAGTTGCCTGATGAACAGAAGAACACAGTTAAAAAAGATCTAGTGTCAAGGTGAGAACGTTGGGATGGTGCTAAAGTAGGCATTCATTTGAAATCAATCAATGCAAGTTTCTAATCAAAAGTTTGATGACCAGCGCAGAACAATATCAAAGAAAAAAGGAAAGGAAAAAAACTCTGCTCGACGGAAATTAACATCCCGAGTGTTTGAAAAGAAATACCACACAAGAAATGCTACTACATAAGCAAGTTGGATATCATTACCACGTAAAACCCACATTATGCCTGGTCAGATGAGTATTTGTTATCCAAATTATACTCTCAAGACATTGATTGAATCCAGCACTTGAAAATATAACCCAATGATAAACTATAAAACTCAGAATTTAACAATGAAATCCAGACTTGCAGAATATTTGAAACAATGCATGTCACCTCATTTCCATCAGGAGTGCTGGAAAAGAAATAGGACACAAGAAAATCCTATCATATAAGCAAGTTGAAATTATTAACCTCAGACCTGATCAACAAGCAAAGAGAGGAGCCTATCAGCATCCATCTTTGGCAACCCTTTCTGTGGGACAATCTGTATCTTGGGACACTTGTGAGGATAGCCAGGTAGGCATCTGAGATATACAACAGACAGATCAATATTTGGAAAATGCAATGAACATCAGGAGTGCAAACATACTGTTACCTTATTGAAAGACGGGCTGAAACATTGAGATCTTCATCAACCATGTCATTTGAGTAAGGCCTGCGACAATAGCATATCATGTCAAGTAAAAAAGCATTCATCTCCATGCTCATAAGCATTAAATAAAACACCTCAAGCAAAAAAGTGAGGTCCTACCAGAGTACCTGAGATTTATGTCAAACCGAGTATAAGATGATTCTGTAACAATCTTGATGTCATCTTGAAATATCGCAGCACTGAAAAAGAAGTAATATGTAGTCATCCAACCTGCTAAGCGCATACAAACTTATGGTGGCATAAGCAGGTCTATTTATATTTGGCAAAGCAGACATGCTAAGATCAGACTTCTGTGATGATAATCATTTCATGTGCAATATTTAAACACTAATGAATTTCAGGACAAAAGTTTGGAAATGCTTGCATTATGTCTTGCCTATAGAAGATTTGCACTAAAACCAGACGATCTATAACTAGGTATGCATCTATGTTGAATGGGTAGGGAATACAGGTATGGGTACCAGTACGGGCACAGAACACGGCAAATTTCTAAAAGGTAGGGTGGGGGGCATGGCTATATAAATATTTATATACATGTCAATATTAATCATTTATATGAGAACAAGGATGTGAATTGTAATTCCTATTTTTATGTTTTTTTTATTATGTGGATTATAGAAAATCACTAGTTTTTGAAGTAGATATCCAAACTACCCTTCGAAATTGTAATTTGAAACCTGACCTATGTCTAATGAGTTTCAAGAAGTGGATGTGAAATGTAGAATATATTCTAAAAAATGTGTGACAAGTGTTTTAAATTAAAACATGTATTGTATAATTGAGTACATGCCAGAATAAATGTATGCATATATGCAAGGAGTGTCTAAAGAGTTTGGGTACAAGTACTGGTACGAGTTGAATGGCTTAAGATTAGAAGTACCAAGGTAACATAGGTATGCACATAACTATCATAATTTAAAAATAGATTGCAGTTCAAAAGCCTTATATAAAGGGAAATCATATGGGTCCCTATCCATGAGCATAGCTAGCCTGGACTATGACATGGAAATAATATGACCAAATATTGTTAAATAATGAGGTCCTATGCAGTGTGATTAATAACTTGCAAGGTTGTAGCAAAATAGTGTATAGACGCGACAATGTACATAGCATAAAATCCAAATTTTCTATGAAGTTGAGACCACTCTACTTGACATTAGTGTTGATGATGCATTAAATCAACTAATGGAAGTGATAGTTTTCATCACAATCCCCTCTTTCTGTTGGTAAGTAACTTATACTACAATCTAATGATGTATCAAAGGTCACTAGTTCACAATAATATTAACAAAGGTATCTGCATACATACCTCTCAAACCAATCCTATTTGCAAAGTCATCCCAAGATTCTAAACTATTTGCTAATTTACCCCTATATTTAACAAGGTTGGGTTAATATCCCCCTTAGATTCCTGTTATGTAATATAATATATTTCTACATATCTTGTCCTGTAGGAAGGATTAGAAATTTAAAATGGGACGAATCTACCTCTAATTAAGCAATTAAAATAAGCTAATCCAAAATTATATTAAGGGAGAGAGAGAAATAGACGATGGATTTTGACGCCAACGACAATCCCAATCGTCATTAGCATGGAAAGGGTGGGCAGGGGATAGGGCCAGGGGTAGGGGAAAAGGAAAAAAGAGTGGCTGGAGGAGAGTCGCATGTCTTTGTCAGTAAGACCCAAGGATAAGGAGAAGAGGGAGAGAGTTTTTTCTCTTTTTTTTTTTGGTATTTGGGGGGGTTCAACTCTAACAAGGCATAGGGTCAATTCCCTCATTATCGGTGAGATAGGGGGCGAGAAATTTAGGTTAAGAGTGACAAAAAAGGGCGAAGGTAGAGAATAATGATGCAGGATGACCCGCATTGTGTCATTGACACGGTCCAACAGCGACGGATTTAGTTTAGGGTGGGGAAGAGAGCGAGTTCAAGTCCGCCGAGGAATGGGGTCAAAGCTTGCACTTCCAACGAGACCCACTACCCTTTGTCCAAGTTATGGAGACAGAGAAAAAGAGGGGTAATAGAGAGCAAAGGTCAAATCATTATTACAATATTCTATGATTGAAAAGCCACGATATGAAATAGGAGGGGTATTTTAATCCAATATGAGATAATGTGGGATGATTAGCAAATAGGTAGATAATGTAGGGGGAGAGCGAGTTCAACTCTGCCGAGGCATGGGGTCAAAGCTTGCACTTCCAGCGAGACCCACTACCCTTTGTCCAAGTCATGAAGAAGAAGAGGGGGGATAGAGAGTCAGGGTAAAATTATTATTACGCTATTTATGATTGAAAAGTCACGGTGTGAGATAGGAGGGGTATTTTAATCCAATATGAGATAATGTGGGATGAATTAGCAAATAGGTAGATTATAAGGGTATCTGCAAATAGAATAGATTTAGGGAGGATGTAGTTGAAAAGAGTATCAGTAATATGAGTAAATTTCTAAAAGTACAATGAACTTGGGGAGATTTGCACAAAACTAACACGAAGGTTTTTATTAGAGAAAATAATCATGCTCTTTTCACCAAACTACCTTGCCTAACGGCGGCTAGGGTAAGTGATTATGTGTTTATATATAACATATATTGGACCAACTTACCATTAGACACTTTCTATACATGCTACATTACTATTTTCCACTCTCCTATTTTCAAGGATAGTTTATATCTGTTATTCAAACCCTTAACATCGTATCAACAACTGCCAATGGTTATAAGCATTATTCAAGTTAAATGTATGCATACGTCAGATACAAACTATTACCCTTAAACAAAGTACGCAACCCAAGCTAGGCAAGTTATTAATTTTAGCTCCTAAAATGTGAATGATTTATGAAACTTACGTAAGATTTATGAGCGAAGCAATAGTGTATCTAATACTTGAATCAAAATGCTACAAAAATCACTTCCAATACAGCTAAATATTATGTAGAAAATGAAGAAATTAGAAATTAGAATTTATAAATAAGAAAAGAAAGACAAGGAAAGAAAAGAAGATAAGGAGGAGAAACATTGTCTCCTGCTTCACATAATTTCTTTAGCAACTTTGTGAAGACATTTACATGGTGCCATGAGACCATGATCACTAAGCAAGATCCATAGACAACATACTGGAGTAAGTGCAAGTGTTCGCGTTAAAGATATAGTAGTTCAATGGAATGAACAGATTCAGTAACAAATAATGGAGCTACATCACTCGTAAATCTCATAGCATGTGTTCCTTTTAACCACTATACAAGCAATTGATCCTGCCAGAAGAGCTAGGATATTAAGTTAGTTGTTTAGTCCCATATTGGAAGATTATCTTTATTGTATTCTATTTATTTACCTACAAATAAAACCTAAATATAGCACTTTGTTATAAGGCATTGTTCCCTCCTTTAAGATGATGGAAACCAATTACAAGGAGAGCAAAGCCTCTATCCTGAATTTCCGGGTTCTTTACATGAAGCGTTCTCCAATCGGCACCATTAGGTCCAATCTTATCACAAGTATATCAGATTCACTTTGCTCTAGCTTCAATCCTAGCACCTTCTTCAATGCAATCTTTCTTAATTACTGTAAAAGAGAGAGCGATGCACCTTCATAGTTTGTGTTCTGTACCAACTAAAATTTTCAATTGAAATCATGCCATTTTTATCAATACAAGGCATCCTAAGGTTAGATCATCAGGTAGTAAATGATCTTAAACACCCCAAAGTTTCACCATTTCTTAACTTGAAAAGTGAACTGGAAACAAATTTTCATACCAAATTCTAGTTTTTGCGTTTGGGGAGAGTGAGGGGCAAAGTTAGGGGTTTGGAGTATCAAGTTGTCAAACTAACGTCAATTTGAAAGCTTTGAGGTATCAAATTGTCAAATAGAACTTCAAGGTATTCAAAGCCTTGTATAACTATCATAATCTAAAAAATAGGATGCACATCCAAAGCCTTGCATAAAGGAAAATCATACGGGTCCCTATGCATGAGCATAGCTAGCCTGGACTATAGCATGGAAATAGTATGACTAGATATTGTTAAATAATGAGGCCCTATGCAGTGTGATCAATAACCTACAATGTCATAACAACTGTGTATAGACACGTAAATGTACATAGCATAAAATATAAAATTCTATTAGGTTGAGACCACTCTACTTGACATCAGTGTTGGGATGCATTAAATCAACTCATGAAAGTGATAGCTTTTCATCACAATTACCTCTTTCTGCTAGTAAATAACTTACACTACAATCTAACGATGTACCAAAGGTCCTTAGTTCATAATAATATTAATAGAAGTATCTGCATACATATCTCTCAAACAAATCCTATTTGCAGACTCATCCCAAGATTTCTAACTATTTGTAAATTTACCTCTATATTTGCTGAGGTTGGATTACTGCCCCCTTCCCCCAAATTATAGTTATGTAATATAATATATTTCTCCATATTATGTCTTGTAGGAAGGATTACAAATTTAAAAGGGGACGAATCTATCTCTGATTAACTAAATTAAGTCAATACACAATTATGTTAAGGAAGAGAGAGAAAGAGACGACAAATTTTGACGTGATCCCAGTCGTCATTGGCATGGAAAGGGCAGGTAAGGGATGGGGCTAGGGGAAAACGAAAAAAGAGTGGCTGGAGGAGCGTCGCCTTTGTCTTTATCGGCAAGACCCAGGATGGAAAATCTAGAATAAGGGGGGAGAGAGAGAGAGGGTGTTTTTTGGGGGGGAAGGGGGAGGGGGTGCTTCAACTCCAACTAGGCATAGGGGTCAATTCCGTCATTGTCAGTGAGATAGGTGGCGACAAATTTAGGTTAAGAGTGAGAGAAAAGAGTAAAGATAAAGTCTGATGAAGCAAGAAGGCCCACATTGTGTCATTGACACGATCCAACAGCGGCGGATTTAGTTTGGGGGGGAGAAGAGTGAGTGAGTTCAACTCCGCTGAGGCAAGAGGTCAAAGCTTATGCTTCCGACGAGATCACTGGTCTTTGTCCAAGTTATGAAGACAGTGAAAAAGAGGGGTAATAGAGAGCAAAGGTAAAATTATTATTACACTATTCTATGATTGAAAAGTCATGGTATGAAATAGGAGGGGTATTTTAATCCAATATGAGATAATGTGGGATGATTAGCAAATAATTAGATTCAAAGGGTATCTGCAAACAAGATAGATTTAGGGGGTGTAAGTGAAAAGACGTTATTAGCAATATGGGTAAATTTCCAAAAGTACTATGAACTTTGGGAGATTTTGCACAAAACTACTACGGACATTTTTATTAAAGAAAACAATCATGCACTTTTCACTAAACTACCAAGCCTGATGGCAGCTACGATAAATTGCCATGTGTTTATATGTGACATATTTGAAATTTGAACAAATTTACCGTTATAGACTTTCTAGTTTTTGTACATGCTATATTACCCTTTCCACTCTCCTATTTTCAACAATAGTTTAGATCTGTTATCCAAAGCCTTATGTTATAGAAATAATTTCCAGTAGTTTCAGGCATTATTCAAGTTAAATTTATGCATATGTCACCTAGGGATACAAACTTCTATACTTAAACAAAATATGCAATCCAAATTAGGCAAGTTAGCAATTTTATCTCCTAAAATATGAATAATTTATGAAACTTAGGATGTGTTTGGCAACCATTCAAAATTGGGCCAGGACTAAACTTGGCCCGGTTTTGAGCATTTTTGTTTTTGGCAAAAAAATAAATGGACCAGAATTGGTCCAGTTTTTGTGGGCCAAAAGGTGGCCACTAAACCAATTCTAGTTTGGACCAACCCTCCCCTAGTTCAACCTAGAACTAGTTCAGGATAGAACTAGGCTAGGATTAGTTCTTCCCTGTTTTGAGTGATTTGCAAAACACCCATAGGTAAAATTTATGAGAAAAACAATAGTGTATTGATGCTTGAATCAAAATGCCGCAAAATTCACATTTCAATATGGCTAGATATCATGTAAAAAATGAAGAAAAATTAGAATTTGTAAATAAAGAAAAAAAAAGAAGAGGAAAGAAAAAGAAGATGAGGAGGAGAGATATTGTCTCCTGCTTCATATGATTTCTATAGCAATTTTGTAAAGACACTTTACATGGTGCCAAGAGACCATGATCACTAAGCATGATCCATAGACAACATAACAGAGTTAGTGCAAGTAAAGTGTTCACATTGAAGATATAGAAGCTCAAGGGAGTGAATGAATTCAATTCAATAACAAATAACAGAGGTACATCATTGGTAAATCTCATAGCTTGTTTGTTCCTTTTAATTACACAAGCTATTGATCCTACCAGAATGAGCCAGTATAGTAAGTTAGTTGTTTAGTCCCACTGTGAAAGATTATGTAACTGTATCCTATTTATTCACCTACAAATAAGACCTGAATAACCCTCTTTGGGATAAAGTTGTTGTTCTCCCCTTTAAGATGATGGAAACCAATTACAATGAGAGGAAGGCCTTTATCCTCAATTTCCAGGTTCTTTACGTCAAAGCTTTCTCCAATCGACTCCATTAAGGCACATCTTCTTCAACGGCAATTTTTCTTAATTACCGTAAAAGAGAGTGTGATGTACCTTCATAGTTTGTGTTCTATACCAATTAAGTTTCCTTCAAAGTCGTGCCATTTTTATCATTTTCAAGGCATGCCAGGGTTAAGATCATCAGGTAGTAAACGACCTTCAACACCCCAAAGTTTTACCCTTCCTTAAGTTGAAAAGTGAACCAGAAACAAAATTTCATACCAAATTCCAGTTTTTGAATATGGGGAAGGTGAAGAGCAAAGTTAGTGATTTGGAATATCAATTCATCAAATTAACGTAAATTTGAGAACTTCGGATATCGAAATGTCAAAATAGAACTTCAGGGTATTCGAAGCTAAAAAAGGGTGAAACTTCGTGCTAAAGTGCAAATAAACCCAACTCACACAATGCCCAAGCAGCTATCAAAATGTCGCATCTCCTAATCATTACGCAGGCGAATCAACCGAAATGAATTTAATCCAATCAACCGCAACAAGAATCGAAACTCACAGTGCAGTGAGCTCTTCAGAGAGAAGCTCTTGATCCTCGGCAGAAAGAGAGGAGTGGTCCTTGGGAGCAGCCCTCCCTCTGCTCTTCTTCTTCTTCTTCTTCGAGTTATGCCCCATCGATCTCAATCTCGCCACGCATCGACTAAAACCCTAAACCCTCTCGAATAGGAAAAAAAAGAAAAGGAAACCCTCGAAGTTTTGATCGCGGATCGATGGATCTTGAGTTTGAATGTGAAGTCGTTAGCGAGATGAGATTGGTGAGGGTATTTTTTTAGACGGAGGGTCTCTCTGGATTTTACTGGATAATTTCAGCAGTGTATCTGACAGCAAAGAGGTCTAAATTCTGATTTCTACAGTGGCGGCTGAAAACGCTGGCGTGCTCGATGTAGCGGTTCAGATACGGTTCAGAGTTTCCTTTCTACACGGACAAAACTTCAAAACAGCCCTATTTGCAAACTTAATCCCAAAAACTTTCACCTTTATTTGCAAAAATCGGTTTTTGAAAAAAAAAAGTTCACAAACTTTACGGGAGTTGAAGTCCCGTGAAGTTTTTTACATAACAAACTTCGTGGAACTTCAACTCCCGTGAAGTTTTGTTATGAAAAAAACTTCACGGGACTTCAACTCCCGTGAAGTTTGTAAACTTTTTCTGAAACTAGATCGGTTTTTGCAAATAAAGAAGAAACAGGTCGGTTTTTTAGATTAAGTTTGTAAATAGGGCAGTTTTGAAGTTTTGTCCTTCTTTCTACGGTTCTGGAATTTTTTTATTGGCTTCCAGCGACAATAGCAAGATGTCAGGATTGTGGGACCAAATAGCATTATACTTAACAATTTTAAACAAGCATAATTTTGTAATGGGTTTTTTTTAAAGACCTATTTTCCTAAATAATTAGCAAAATAAATCGTTTTCGCTAATTATTTAGCAAAAACGACATCTTTTTGGCCTGTTCTTTTTGGCCAATGGGCAAAAAAGAGATTGGTTTTGCTAAATTGGGTGTTCGAAACATACAGGATTACTAGTCTCGTATGTTTAGTCACCATTAATCTCCTACAAAATCACCCTAAAAAATTCTATAGGACTAGTAGTCCCGTAGATTCTGGTTCGGCACACACATCATCGCCACCTGCAACAACTCCACCATCTCCTCATCAATATTCTGAAACCTCATCAATTCAACATCTAACACCTCCGCTGTACACTCCTCCCTCACCACCGACTGCACCCATCTCGGCAAATCGATCCCTTCCTCCCCCAATGAGGCCTGGTTCGGGGCCTTACCGGTCAATAGCTCTAGCAACACAACGCCGAAGCTGTAGATGTCGAACTTGAGGGTCGGTCGACGGGTTTCGAGGACCTCGAGGGCACGATATACGGCGACGCAATTGGGATGGGAGGAGGTGGAGAAAAGAGGGTAGAGGGTGATGTCAGAGAGGGCGGCGGAGTCGGGATCGGAACGGAGGAGGATGTTGGAGGATTTGATGTTGTTATGGATTATGCGGGAAGTCGGAGTCGGAGGTGGCATCCTTGTCGCCTCGCTGGCGCCTGCGATTTCTACGTTTTGAATTTCCCATTGAGAGGGAGAGGGAGAGAGGGTTTATGGTTTGTTTGATAAGGAAAGGAAAGGGGAGGAGGCAGCGGGAACTTCCTGGGGAATATTGATTACTCCCTCTCTTGTTTATTAACTGGGAGATGTTGTCGTGGAATGTGCGGGCGGATGTGATTTAGTAGAATCTACTGGACTACTAGTCCCGTAGATTTTGGGGTAATTTAGTAGGAGATTAATGGGGACTAAACATACGGGACTAGTAGTCTCGTATGTTTCGAACACCCGGTTTAGCAAAACCGACCTCTTTTTGGCATGTTGGTAAAAAAGATGTCGTTTTTGCTAAATAATTAGCAAAATGGTCTGTTTTGCTAATTATTTAGCAAAAAATGTCTTTTCAAAAAAAAAACTTTTGTAATATACACAGGGGTAAAATTGCTCCTGTCTAGTTCAACTCTTGAAAAGTGAGATAAATTCAGAGGCTAGAATTGACCTTTACTATATATGGTGGATAAAAAATGGGATAATTTTTTACAGTTATCCCCGTTCTACTTTTGTAGTGGTTCTAACACCTTAAAATTTTATCCCGGTAAAAGTTCTAACTGACTAGCAACATATAAATTTATCCTACAAATTATCTCAGTTCTAATTATAGTTCCACTTGACTAACCCCCTTACGAGTCTAGTATTTTTTTAGGGTTCTAGCAACAATAGTAAGATGTAAGAATTGATGGATCCAATAGCAATTTTAATAACATGAGGGACTAATTTCAAATTATTAACGATGCAAGGGAGTAATATATAAAAAGGATTTATCCAGTATTAGTCTTTAATGTTAGATCTACATCATAAAACTTGAGATCTAAAACCATATAGCCATGATTAATTCAAAGAGATTAACAAAAATCTAAAGAGCGGAAGCTTATACCTGAATCCATTGCTTGATCTTGAGATGGGTTTTGATCTTCTAACCTTAGGGTTCTCTATAGCCGAATTTCTCTCTTAGATGGGGGTGAAGAGAATTAAAGAATGTAACCCTAGGTTAGGGACCATAACCCCTTATTTATAGATGTTGTACTTTTGTAATTTAACCCCTCAATAAATTACAATTACAACCTGGTATCTGCACTCGGATTCTATGCCCCTGAAGGCTTCCGGAACGCCGCGCTTAATGATCATAAGACTCATGCGATTTGAACGCTCCCACTTCTCATGCTCCTTCTTTGCATCAGGAGTGCTATCCGCATTGAGAGGTTGGGGTTGTTCAGTTCTTAATGCATAGTCAAGATCCATGCAGCCAAGAACAATTAATATGTTCTCTTTCCAAACCTTGAAGTTTGTCCCATTTAGCATGGGAATTGAGTTGATGTTAGCAGAAATTGTTGCAGCAGATGCATTAGCTGAAATAAAACAAAAGAATGCTCACATCAATAACCATAATCAATAAAATTCAAATAATGACAATCCCCATCCAAGATACCGGCACAACATTAATATCAAGTCTTTGGACAGTAATATTAACTTGTAAGTGATACCTTGTTGCAATGATCAAACATTGACAATAACTCATGTCAAATAATGAAACTATCTTTGGATCGATTCATTATTCACATGTAAACCTTATAATTGTCACACGCTTATCATCGCAGATGTGTATACAGTCTAAATAAATATTAACCTTCCTTTGGGCCGATTAAATATTTACACGAAAGCATACACACAAACATCTCACATTCCTCATGAACAATCTACACAAGAGAGGTTACTTTGGCAACTTCTTGTTTCAATTAATCAATTGGAGTGAGAGACAACCTTAATACCTTAATGTCATAATATTTGAATTAAATAATTGATTAAAAAACCGAATTAGATTTAAATTTTAATTTAAATCAACTGAATTTCCAAAAACTTAATTGGGGTCTTACAGCTTAATTAGGGCCCATAACTTAATTGAATAAATTAAGTATACCAAAGTGGACCCATGAAAAGCCGAGACTTAACCATAATGAACACGAAGTTCGCTTGACTTCGAACGCGAGGTTCGACTGTATTGAGTACGAGACTCACTTAAGCACGAACGCGAGGTTCGTCTGAAAATGAACGAACGCGAGGTTCGTTTGATAAAAGAACGCGAGGTTCAACTTGGGAACGAACGCGAGGTTCGTTAAAAAAAATAAACGCGAGGTTCAACTGAAGTACGAACGCGAGGTTCGTCTGAAGTACGAACGCGAGGTTCGTCTGAAGTACGAACGCGAGGTTCGTCTGAAGTACGAACGCGAGGTTCGTCTGAAGTACGAACGCGAGGTTCGTCTGAAGTACGAACGCGAGGTTCGTCTGAAGTACGAACGCGAGGTTCGTCTGAAGTACGAACGCGAGGTTCGTCTGAAGTACGAACGCGAGGTTCGTCTGAAGTACGAACGCGAGGTTCGTCTGAAGTTCGAACGCGAGGTTCGTCTGAAGTACGAACGCGAGGTTCGTCTGAAGTACGAACGCTAGGTTCGTCTGAAGTTCGAACGCGAGGTTCACCTTAGAATGAACGCGAAGTTTGTTAAAATTGAGCTTGACGCTCACCTGAGTTGAACGCGAGGTTCACCTTAGAACGAACGCAAAGTTCGTTAAAATTGAGCTTGACGCTCACCTGAGTTGAACGCGAGGTTCACCTTAGAACGAACGCGAAGTTCGTTGAGCGCGAGGCTCACTTGATAACGAACGCGAAGTTCGTTTAAAATTGAGTTTGACGCTCACCTGAGTTGAACGCGAGGTTCACCTTAGAACGAACGCGAAGTTCGTTGAGCGCGAGGCTCACTTGATAATGAACGCGAAGTTCGTTTGAACGCGAAGTTCGGTTAAAATTGAACGAACGTGAGGTTCGTTTGAGGTAATCACCTCCTTAATTTTCGCCATGAACCCTTAGGGTTTCAAACTGAAACCGCCACCGACAAACCCAAAAAACCTTTGATTTTTATTTTCAAAACAGATCCAGAATTGGAAAAATTGAAGAAAAAATCAAAGAAAAACCCAAAAAAATTCCAAAAAGTCACTGTTCACCGGCGATTTTTTCAGTTACTGTTCATCCGGAAAAAACCTTACTGTTCATCCGAAAAAAAATTTCGCTACTGTTCACCGAACATTACTGTTCATCCGAACCCAAAAAATGAATCTTTAACCAGAGATTTAAGATCAAAAACCCAATAAAACTTAAATCCCTAAGAATTAATCAAGGTGGCTCTGATACCACTTGTTAGATCTACATCATAAAACTTGAGATCTAAAACCATATAGCCATGATTAATTCAAAGAGATTAACAAAAATCTAAAGAGCGGAAGCTTATACCTGAATCCATTGCTTGATCTTGAGATGGGTTTTGATCTTCTAACCTTAGGGTTCTCTATAGCCGAATTTCTCTCTTAGATGGGGGTGAAGAGAATTAGAGAATGTAACCCTAGGTTAGGGACCATAACCCCTTATTTATAGATGTTATACTTTTGTAATTTAGCCCCTCAATAAATTACAATTACAACCTGGTATCTGCACATATAACCCCATGACTTATTTAAATACCAAATTAACCCAACTTAATTGATCACTTTAGTGGGTTATCCTAAAAGGATAGCAATACATATTGATTAATCATATGTGCCCACAAATAGATTTATTAGATTAAATCCAACATTTAAAACTATGGAATTGCTATGAGTTCCCTCAATTCCGAATTTATTTTTAAATTAGCCCCTTCAATCAATAATACTAGATTGGAGGGATTAATTTGAAGCTATTTATAAGGTTTGAAGGACATATTAGTAATTTTAATGGTTTGAGGGACTGATTTT